CTTGTAAGTATAGAGTTTATTCATAAAATGATATACCTATTTTATCGTCAATAGGATTTTACATTAAATATTAACTTTTCTGTTCATTTACTTTGCATGTTAAACTACCAGTGAGTAAGTATAGAGTTTATTCATAAAATGATATACCTATTTTATCGTCAATAAGACTTTACATTAAATATTAACTTCTTTGTTCATTTACTTTATGTTAACCTAGTCCGTAAGTTTAGAGTTTATTCATAAAATGATATACCTATTTTATCGTCAATAAGACTTTACATTAAATATTAACTTCTTTGTTTATTTACTTCGCGTGTTAAACTACAGGAAGTAAGTATAGAGTTTATTCATAAAATTATCAACCTATTTCGTCAATAGGATTTTACATTAAATATTAACTTCTCTGTTTATTTGTTGTTAAACTACCAGTGAGTAAGTATAGAGTTTTATGATATACCTATTTTATCGTCAATAAGATTTTACATTAAATATTAACTTCTCTGCTCATTTACTTTGCGTATTAAACTAGCTTGTAAGTATAGAGTTTATTCATAAAATGATATACCTATTTTATCGTCAATAGGATTTTACATTAAATATTAACTTCTCTGTTCATTTACTTTGCATGTTAAACTAGACTGTAAGTATAGAGTTCATTTATAAAATTATCTACTTATCCTATCGTCAATAGGATTTTACATTAATTATTAACTTCTCTGTTCATTTACTTTGTATTTTAAACTAGTGCGTAAGTATAGAGTTTTATGATATTCCTATTTTATCGTCAATAGGATTTTACATTAAATAATAACTTATCCGTTCATTTACTTTGCGTGTTAAACTACCAGTAAGTAAGTATAGAGTTTATTCATAAATGATCTACCTATTTTATCGTCAATAGGACTTTACATTAAATATTAACTTCTCTGTTCATTTACTTTGTATGTTAACCTAGTCCGTAAGTTTAGAGTTTATTCATAAAATGATCTACCTATTTCGTCAATAGGATTTTACAATAAATATTAACTTCTCTGTTTATTTACTTTGCGTGTTAAACTACCAGTGAGTATGTATAGAGTTCATTCATAAATGATCTACTTATTTTATCGTCAATAGGATTTTACATTAAATCTTAACTCCTCTGTTCATTTACTTTGCGTGTTAAATTAGATAGTAAGTATAGAGTTTATTTATAAAATTATATACCTATTTTATCGTCAATAGGATTTTACATTAAATATTAACTTCTCTGTTCATTTACTTTGCGTGTTAAACTACTAGTGAGTAAGTATAGAGTTCATTCATAAAATAATCTACCTATTTTATCGTCAATAGGATTTTACATTAAATATTAACTTCTCTGTTCATTTACTTTGTATGTGAAACTAGCTTGTAAGTATATACCTATTTTATCGTCAATAGGATTTTACATTAAATATTAACTTTTCCGTTCATTTACTTTGTGTGTTAAACTACTAGTAAGTAAGTATAGAGTTTATTCATAAAATGATATACCTATTTTATCGTCAATAGTATTTACATTAAATATTAACTTCACTGTTTATTTACTTTGCGTGTTAAACTACCAGGTAGTAAGTATAGAGTTTATTCATAAAATGATCTACCTATTTCGTCAATAGGATTTTACATTAAATATTAACTTCTTTGTTCATTTACTTTGCGTGCTAAACTACCAGTGAGTAAGTATAGAGTTTTATGATATGCCTATTTTATCGTCAATAAGATTTTACATTAAATATTAACTTCTCTGCTCATTTACATATCGTGTTAAACTACAAATAACTAAGTATAGAGTTCATTCATAAATGATCTACCTATTTTATTGTCAATAGGATTTTACATTAAATATTAACTTCTCTGTTCATTTACTTTACGTGTTAAACTACCAGTGAGTATGTATAGAGTTCTTTCATTTATAAAATTATCTACCGATTTTATTGCCATTAATCGGCATAGTATTCTCAATAAATATTAACTTCTCTATTCATTCTTACTACCAGGAAGTAAATATAGTGTTCATTAATAAAATAGTTTACCTTTATTACAAATAAAATTCTTCTTAATATTAACTTACTGTTCACCACACTTATGTGTTACCTATCAGGGAGTAAGTATAGAGTTCATTTGTTTATAAATAACCTATTTTATTGTCAATATAATTATCTATAAATATTAATTTTTCTGTTATACCTTAAACTACCAGAGAGTAAGTCTATAATTCATCCATAAAATGATTTGCTTATTTTTTCGTAATGAACCCTTTATTAAATATTAATTCTTTGTTTATTTCTTACATTTTATTTACCAGGGAGTAAGCATAGAGTCATAAAATGATCTACTTATTTACACCAAAACTCTTTATTAAATATGTTTTTATTAATATATTGTTAAATTACTAGTTCGTAAGTATAGAGTTTATTTATAAATGATCTTCTACTATATTGGAATTATCCATTAAATATTACTTTACTGATAATTTTTTAATGCATTAATTTACTAGTAAGTAAGTATAAAGTTCATTTATAAATGATCTTATCGGAAAATTTTCTTGTTATTTATATACATGTTAAACTATTAGGGAGTGTGTATAAAGTTCATTTGTAAAATACTATTTGTTGTTATTGCATTCTTTTTAAAGATTATTTTCTGTTTATTTTGCATATATGTGTATTTAAATTACCAGGGAGTAAGTATGAGATTATTTATAAAATGTCGTGAATTATAGTGAATCGGATTATTGTGAAATTTAGGGTCTCTTTTTGAAAATATAAATCTTATTAAAATCTATTTATACTCTTTTCTAAATAACTCAAACCTTAAATTTCAATCTAACTATAAAAAAAAGGCCAAAAAAATACATTTAAAATTTTTTCAAATTTTCATATTAAAATAAGTGCAAATTTTACTATAATCTGACTTCACTATAATCCGTGATATAAAATAGTCTATTTAATTAATTGTTTGTCATTCATCTAATGTAAATAATTCTTTAATTGAATTAAATTTGAAGTGAGTAAGTATAAAATTCGTTTTAACTCATTTAAATAGAAAAATTCATAATTAAATAATTATTTACTTCGATATTAAATTAAGATTGAGTAAGTGTAAAGTTCATTTATATTGATTTTTAAAGAGTATTTTATCGTTAAATACTGTAATCATTTAAAGAGGAGTGAGTATAAAATTCACCTATGTTTGGTTTTAAAATTGGTGTATTAAGTAGATATAATAAATTTCCAATTATTTATATTTAGCTACAAGAACTGGTTTCAAAGCATTATTGTAGATTATAGATTGGATGAAATACCCTATGGTGATTTTGAAAGAAAGACAAGAATAGGACGTGGAGGTTTTGGTACAGTATACAAGACAGAATCAAAGTCATTAGGTTACGTGGCCATTAAGGAAGTAGAATCAGAAACGGATGAAAAAGTTAAAAAACTTTTTATTAATGAGGTTTATCTTTCAACCACTTATGCAAGATTATTATCGCGGCTGATGCTGAAAATTTTGACAGGCCTTGTAGATAATTTGGGCAAAATTATAATAAAAAATTGGGGTTTCTAAGTTTATTGCAATGGCTATTACAATTTCAGCTTCTGCTACGACATTTATTATTTCGTCAGTTTTTCTAATATATAAATGTATTTTTCAGTTAAAACAACTTAATAGATCTACATATCATCGAATTATTAAATTTTATGGGATTAGTTTAAGTAAGCTATTTATAGATTATACATTATTAAATTTATCATAAATTTTCTGCAAATTAACTTGATTTATACTAAACCTTTTGCGGCAAGACGAGAAAGAAAAGAAATGTTATCTTGTAATGGAATATGCAAATAACGGAACTTTACGGGAACATCTACAAGAAAAAGAATTAGAATGGCCAGAAAAAATTCGATTAGCGATCCAAATAGCTGACGGAGTGTCTTATCTTCATGGCATAAATATTACACATCGCGATTTGGTGATTATCTGATTTTATTTAATTGTTATATGCATCGAATAAATTATCAAGTTATTTATGATCAAATTTTATGTAATTCAGCACACTTTGAACATTCTCATCCATGATGGAAATGTTAAAATTTCAGATTTTGGATTATCTAAAAATCTTAATAGTGCATTGTCAACTGGCAGTAAAAAAATTTTTGGAGTAATTCCTTTTATTGATCCTCAAAAACTTTATTGCATCGAATATCCGTGCGATGAAAAATCTGACGTTTACAGTTTTGGAGTACTTATGTGGGAAATTTCTAGTAATGGACGCCCCCCATTTGATCAGACAGATCACACTTCTACATTCGCACTCGCATTTAGCATTATTCGAGGTTTACGCGAAGAACCTATCACAGGAACGCCTATACACTATATCGATCTTTATTCAAAATGTTGGGATAGTGAACCAAATGAACGTCCTTCAATGACCCAAATTTTTCAACGATTGAAATCTTTAAAGTTGGACCCTAAATATGATGACAATAATCAGAATCGTTCCTTAAACGGTGTTAATGCTAATTTTGAAAATGTTGATATGGTTTGTATATTATTTGTTCATTGTATATTTAATTTTATTTTATATGTGGATGCCTGACAATTATACTTTGTTATACAGCCATCCAAGCAGATTTCATTAAACATTCCCTTACAGATATATAACCTTAATCATGCATGATTATAGCGAAATTTCGCTACAACGAAGACTATACAACCTTAGAATATTTGGTACAAAAAATTTGACCTTTAGAAATTCGAATTTGTTGATTGTCAAATTTTGCGGTGTGCTTATTTATGGAGATTCACCAATCAAATTGTGGTAATAAATCTGCGCCCAGTTTTTTAAAAAATAAAGCAAAATTTTATGTTCTGGTACAATTATCATATATTGTAGAATGTAGAAATATAAAATAAATCACATATATAAAGAAAAATAGACAGGTGTTTCACTCAACATT